CAAAGCAAAAACAAACATTTGCCCGCTGATATGTTGGTTATATGAAAGCAAAACCTCCCCGTCAAAAGTGAATTCAGATATTTAGAGCAAGAATCAGTGGATCAATATAACTAACATTCCATAAGATTGTTCTGCAGAGGTGTCCCCGTTAAACAGATCCTCCTCCTCGTTCTTATTTTCACCATTGTTTTAGATAGAGCAGACTCGTCATTCTTCAACTTGTGTGCCTCGTCGCATACGATTATATCAGGACCTAGAAGAACGTAATTCAGCTATGACACCAAATTTGATAAAAAATACTTGATAGTTGCTAAGGGATTTATTCAAAAGATCGAAATCATGTTGCTTACCAGGATCTTGCAAATACTCCCTGAACTGTTCCTGCAGTTTCAATAACCGTTTATTTCTTTTTGAAGGTGGCTTTTTAGGCGCCCCGCGTTTCTTCTTGTTATCTTCATCGTCATGAGTCAAGATTCGGAACATATCATACCCTATGATCATCACGGAAGGAACTAAATTATTGTGTTGAAATGACAAACTTGGTTTTGAAAAAACAGTCAAAACATGCCTTCACAGTGATACCAGTTTTTCAAAGCTAAGTGCCGATCGTTGTATGTTTTGAAGGAGTCCAGCTCCATTACCTGAACATAATTATCGAGATTGTGCTCTTGATTGATACTTTGTTATGAAGAAACATACATCTATGACAGCTAAGTCAGGATCATTATCCTCAAGCCATTTTTGGAATTCCTTGAACCAATTCAGGACCACATTCTTTGGAACCACTACTAATACTCTCTTGCTATAGTCCACGAGCTTAGGATGCGTCATTATCATGTGAAGGAAAGTGATGACCTGAAACATTCGAAGACATGCAAACTATTTAGTCTCAAAAAACTTGCAATGTATCACCTGCAGTGTCTTTCCAAGTCCCATACAATGGGCCAGAATACCACCGCCTCCATCTTCCTCTAACCTATCAAGAGATTCGAATGCACTGTCGTACATAAACTGCACCCCTTGAGCCTGATGTGGTTTCAGGACTCGAACCTATTGACAGATGAAGTTTATTTCGAGAAATGGTGAAAAAGGGGGAAAAAACATACTAGAGATGGATGAACTGAAACAGGAACTGGTGGATCGCCGTTCTTATCTGGATCAACAACGACGGACTAAATATATGGATAGGATGAGAATGCATGAAAGCTTTGAAGTGATTGAAAAATGCAGAAAATTACGCTTACCTTCAGCTTTTGCACAGTTTTTGTACCACTGACGAGAGCAGAAGCTATATCGACACCTTCCATCAACTCGATCCCGTTGAATTCTTTCTGTTTCTGTTCCAAACGCTTTCTTCGTTCCTAAGACATTATGGAAAATTTGTTGCGATGCAACATTGCAGTTATAAGTAAAAT